TGGGTGGGTGGAGCTGTGCAGTCAGAGGCCTGGTTAGAAACAGGCCAGCCCTCCTGTGCCTTCAAGGCTAGGTGCCTACAGTCTGGGCAGGTGGGGACCAGGTGGCCTTGTTATCCAGTTCAAGTCCTTTGATAGATCTCATTTATCGCAACCCCCCTTGTGCTGTTCTTTGGCCCTGCTGTGTTTGGCTGAGGTAGCAGGCATTCCCATGATTATTTTAGGGTGCAGTAGAGCTTCTGGTGTGTGCTGGTACGCGTGCCGCGTGCTCGGGTTTTTTCCAAGCTGTGTATTGAGGCATACGGGACTGCCATTGTTCAGCGCTTCCGCGCTGCCTGGGAGATCTTTGTGCCCGCGCTCCTCCCAGAGCACTATGGGCTGTGGAGTGCTGTGTATCGGGTGCACCACCCCAGGCCCGCCACGGCTCCTTATCACTGTGAGTCAAGCACCTCCAGGCTGCGAGCTGCCCGTGTCTGCAGGTGGATGGGGCACCCAGCAAGTGGGCACCAAGGCCATGCTCTGTACTTAGACCTCATGGCAGAAGGCAGGCTGGCACTATGGTAGGCCCACCCTTCCCCAGGCACTGGCCCCATCATCTTCTGGAACCTTTTACCTTGAGGAAAAGAAGAAACAAGTCTCAGAGACCAGCACATTGCCTGAGGTCATTGGCGTGGCTGGCATGGTACACAACAGGACAGGAGAGGGGACTGGGAACCTGGCTTTTTCCAACTTGGCGGGGGGCATGGCATACAGCTTCAGAATTTATAACTGATGGAAGTGAGCTACCGTGGTAAGGGTACTTGTACAGCGAGCAGCTTGGTTCTAGGGTGGTTGACAGTTGTTTTTAATTACTGGAATTTGTCCACAAACCAGATTCATTTTGCATTTTGTAGAGAAGACCTCTGTTTTGACTAATTGTGGTTTCTGAGTTCTTGGAACATGTTGCCTGCTCTGGTTTGGAATATCAGTGGCGATGGCCGGAGTGGGACATGTGGTCCAGAGGAAAGTGAAGCACAGCTCTGTTTATGTAACATCAGTCTTCCCCTTTGCTAAACCACTGTCCTTAGTGAATTAGTGACATTGAAATTTTAATCCCAAGGCTTTTTCTGCTCACTCCAATGTTAAGTGTAAGTCTCATTGGGGGCTTGAAGCCAAAAAGAAGGAAGTTAGATCACAACTTTGGCACTTTTTGAATAGCAGCGCATGACTGTTGGGGGCAGGCGTAGAGGTCAGTGGGACAGTACAAATGATTCCACTGTAGGTGTTCATACCACCTTCCTGATTTCTCTGAGAACCAGAAGGTTAGTGGTGTCCAGCCACGCACAGGCCCTGCCAGTACGCAAGCTCTGAGCTGTGGAGGACAAAGCCGTAGGTAGGGCTGGATAGAAGTTCTCACCTTTGTGGTAAAATCCTATGTGACAGGACTCAAATTCTTGCTTTTGAGACACAGGGTCAGGAAAAGGGAGCAGGAAGCAGTGCTTGGAGGGATGTGCCATGGGACGGGGGCGGGGGGGGAGGGGGAGGCAATACTAGGAGGGGTGTGCCATGGGGGCAGTGGTAGGAGGGTGTGGGGGGGGTGGGGTGTGCTGGGCAGCACAGTGAAGTGCAGCCCTGGCACACATCTCGGGGGCCGTCTCACACCTAAGCAGCCACTGTTTAGGAACTGGGTGAGGGGTCTGGGCTCCTGGGGAACGCAAGCAGACAGACAGCTGGGAACCAGCCAGGAGTCTACTGGGTCTTGTACTTTTGCTGTTTGGTCCAGTTAGGTTTTCAAAAAATGGGCTTGTCTGGTTTTCCAGTTGGAGCACACATTTTCTGCGTAATGAGAGCCTTGAACTTCCTGGGAAAACCAATGTGTGGCTCTACATATAATCAGTTTTGAAAATAGACCTAGGTTGGGCCGGGACTCCCAGGAGACCCACTGGATTTTAGGCAGCTCATCTCGGGGCCCGCCCCTGATGTCAGCAAGCAGCGAAGCGGGAAGTCTGGTGGGGATGGACATGAAGAGCTGGCTGGTTTGGTTTGGTTTTTCTCCTGTCTTTGCTCGAGAGGTCCCAGGTCTGCTCTCTCATCCGTAGTCGTGAGTCCTCTTTGGTGGCTGAGTTTTGGGTAGAGCCCCATTTGGCAACTCCCATTCTGGAAGAACTTCGGGGGTGCTTTCCCGAGCAGCTTCCCCCATCTCTCTGCACCTGTGTTTGGAGCTGAGGGTAGGAATCCTGATTGGGGCGGGATGCCTGGCTGCAGTAGGCAGGGGCTGTACTTTCTTGGTGTTAGGTTTTACTGCAAGTGGGGGTTCACTGGGGCAGAGCCACCGCCTCTGGACGTGAGGGACATGATGGCTGCCCGGGAGCACACGTGTGTGGTTTGTGCGCATGCTCAGCTGTGCTGTCAGAAGCATGTTTAGCCTCTGTTAATGCCTGGGCCCTTGTCCCTTCCACTCATGGTGTGAAGTCTCAGGTAGGGGCTGGGCCTGGTCACCCCGGTAACCCCCTGAATGCAGTCTCCAGCCACGGGAGACTGCAGGAGTCTGCCACATTCCATAGCCTTGGTGAGGCTGCTGACCACGCTCAGGATGGGATGGAAATCTTCACGCAAATGTTTCTAATAGGAAATGGGTTATTTTGCCAATTAAATCAGGCATTTGTCTTATTAAAACACAAACATACTTTATCTGATTATGAGTAAAACACCACCCCACAATGCTGCCCTGTTCCTATAATCATATATCTTTGTCTAATGGAGCCTTGCTTAACTTATCATGAATATTTAATGTTTGTTGTGATAAATTTAATCTTCAGGTAGTACATGTTTAAAAATCAGCAGTGCATTTTAGTGAGGGGAGCTCATTTAAATTCATACTTTGTCTTACTACTAAGGATCGTCTCATAAACTATCGTGCTTCATTTTTCACCTGCCATTGAAGGTGGCGATGAAAAGAAAACCATCTTATTCCTACTAGTGTCTAGACTTACTCCAGCAGTTGTTTTTTTTGTTTTTTGTTTGTTTGGTTTTTAAATGCTGGTACTGGGGCTCAAACTCAGGGCTCTGGTGCTGTGCCCCTCAGCGTTTTTGCTTAAGGCTGGTGCTCTGCCATTGAGCTCCACTTCTAGCTTTTTGCTTGTTAACTGTCCTGGTGATTTCAAACCACGATCCTCAGATCTCAGCCACCTGAGTAGCTAGGATGACAGACCTGGGCCCCCAGCACCCAGCAGTTGTTAGGTTCTCAGTTTTGCTGGAGTTGTTCTCAGCCTTGAGTACTTGTATACTGTGCATGCGTCCCCCCCCCCATACTCTGCTGTTGATGAGGATCCTGCATGTCTCCACAGCACCTTGCCTTCATCACCCAGTGAAGCCTGCTGATACTTGTGGTCTCATTGCTATGTGTTGAACTCTTGACCTTTTCTGTTGGCTGCTTAGAATTCCATTATATGCATATCTGTAAATGAACTTAACTAGCTTATTAAAAGTTCAGCAACAGGGAGACTTTTGAAACAGTTGGATACCTGTTCATCATTTCACAGGACCCTTGTCATCTGCCTTTATCTTACCTGTGGATTCCCGTCATCCTGCGTATTCTATCAGGCTATACCCAGATAACACAAAACAGTAGTGATGTTAGCTACTGTTTCCTGAGTGCTGACCAGTGTCAGGCCTGTACTAGTGTGGACCACCCTCTAATGGTTCACAGGTGCTGCCTTCACCTGTGGTGTGTTAATGGCTGGCTGGAGAGCGGGTGTTCAGGTACACAGCTTAATTTGTATTCCCATATTCAGCCCCTCACTTCGATCTGCTTCAGTGGACAGGCCGCCTGTCCACCTGGTGGACGTGTGCTTTGTTTTCTCAGTGTCCAGCTTCTCTGTTGCAAACAGCTCAGCCAGCCCTTCCTCAGCTTTCTGAGGTGAGCCTGGCTCCCGCAGGTCTATCCCGCCGTCCTTCTCCAGGCAAGGTCTCCTGTGATGGAAGGCCCACCTCTCAGTATTGGTGACTCCTTCCCTCTCACTGCAGGCTCACAAGAGTCACCCACACTGAATGCCAACCCTCACTGCAGGCTCACGTCACACCGAATGCCTGGCCAGCCGGCCGGCCTGCCTGCCTCCAAACACACCTTCCAACCTTCTCCATGTAGCTACAGTGATCCGTCCACAGATGGCTGGCCATACGTTTCCAGTGGCCCATCGCTTTGCTCTGAGCATTAGATGGGTACCTTCTGTGTAGGACTCTTCTGGAACAATGAAGAGTGAACACATTTCAGCTTTGGGGGGAAATGTGTAGAGAGCAGATTCCATGACAGAGATCAGCATCCCTCATTTCCATTGTGGTGGTTCGCGTGGCCCCTCCACAGCCCATGGTCTGTACTGACTGAGCTATGTGGGACTTTGTTTATGGCAGGGACACAGCAGGTTGTGAGCAAGGTCACGGTGGTTGGGTCATCTGGATTGGGTGGGCAGTGGAGGCTGGCCTGAGCCTCCGGGTTGGGGGACAGCACCACTGTAACGAGCCCCATGGGGCCTGGGACCCCTTGTCTTTCTGACGTGTTCTCAACCAATTTCGCTGGAGGTTTGGTGTGAGGTCTCTCTGAAGACAAAAACTCCTGGGGGGGCCTCGAAACCCTGAAGTGTCACTTGCGCTGTGGCTGGTTAGAGCTTCAAAATCTAGTTATCTTCTGTACCTAAATGACTATTCCAGTAGAAAATGAAAAAAGGAAAAATGGATTGATGCAAGGTCATTTCCAGGAAGGTCAGGTGCCTCCTGCAACATCTTCAGGACTGTAGGAGACGCTGTCAGAATGGCCCACAGGTGTCGGGATGCACTAAGCCTTGGGCAGGGGGCGATGGAGCCTGTGAGAGGCTGGCGTCTGGCCGAGGCCTGTGAACACGGGCGTGTCACTGCCTCTGAAGTTACCACAGGGAGGCTGGTCTGCGTGTCCTGAAGCGCACGGTCGGGGTGTTTTGACTTGCACTTGAGTTATAGCCAGTAACCTTGCCTTCTTTTCTGTTTTACAGATGCTTTCGTGAACAGCCAGGAATGGACACTGAGTCGGTCCGTGCCGGAGCTCAAAGTGGTGAGTGGCGTCTCCTGGCCTCAGTGGCTCCTTCTTCCTGTGGGACGGGAGGTGGCGTGTGAGTTTGTGAGGCCTCTCGTGGAGCTGCCTGTGGGTGTGTCCCCATGCAGGGCCAGTTGTCTAGTACTTGGAGCTGGAGCCCTGAGTGTGCCTGGGAGAGCTAGATAGCCACCCCACGAGGTGGCGGGGTGTGAACAGCATGGGGTCCACTGATCCCTCTCACACACCCCCTTACAGACCTCGACCACGGAATTATTTCTCCTTTGCAGTGTCATGAGGGTTCCTGTAACAAGCCATCAAAGTTTTGATAGTCATACATACAGTATTACTATAATATTATATAAGATATATTACATATGCATATATACATATGTGTGTGTATATACACATAAAATATGGGTGGCACTGGAGCTGGCACTCAGGGCCCCACCCTTGCTAGGCTTGCTTGCTAGGCTGGTACCCTATCACAAGCTTTACTTTCAACCCTGCACTTTGCTGATAATTTTGGAGGCAGTCTTGTGGACTTCTCTGCCTGGGCTGGCTTGAAACCACAATCCTTTGGATTCAGCCTCCTGAGTAGCTAGGGTTATAGACACAAGTCACTGATCACTGACATCCCAGCTCTTGTATTGGTTGAGTTGGGGGTGGGAGGGGAAGGTATCTTCACCAGGCTGGCCTTGAACTGAGGTCCTCTTGATATCAGCCTCCTGAGTAGACAGGCATGAGTCACCACACCCAGCTAGAACTTAGGAGAGTTCTTTGAGGAGACCATATATGATTCTTACCACCAAGAAAAATGACTATTCTACACTTAACCAGGGAGGACAGAGTGCAGTCCAGTGTTGCTGATTACATGAGAAGGCAGTGCGGGACTCCCTTTCCCAAACTCTAACTAACTTGCTTAAAAGCTTGCTTGAGTTCCCCACCTGGGTTGACTGTGTCACAGACAAGCACATGTCAATGGTTTGAGGTCCGGTCTCTGCCCCTGTGTGTGGTTGGAGGAGACCCTATAGGGCTTCCGGCTCTGTGGTCACAGGTACCTTCCTGTGGTGGTACCCCAGATCCTTGTCCTCATGGGCACCCCAGCAAACCTTGGGTGCTGAGGACCCACGTGGCTGGAGAAGCACCCCTTGGTTCTGCAGAGTAGCCTCCCGGCACTCGGCGGCTATGACTGACAGCTGCCCTTGTGCAGGCTCCCAGCACAGGTGCCATGTGGCCCCGGCCCTGCCTCCCAGCACAGCCGTAAGTGATGGAACGCCAGGCTCCCAGTGGACTCGTGGAAGGTTGCGCAGTAGATCATTAATCCATCAGGGAAAACAATTCAGCGTTTGCTCTCTTTGCAAGCGTGATGGTGCCATGCTTTGAGGCTTTCTGCAATTGTGTTGTGTATGATCAGATCTTCCACACAACCAGTTGCTTTGGGTGCTACAGATCTGGTCCCTGCTAGGCTGCACAGCTTCATGCTGTGGCCTGCGCTTACAGAGTAAATAGACTCCATGCCCACAGGCAGGGCTTGGTCAACAACATGTCACCTGCTGTTTTGCTGCTTCTATGCTTTCCTTGAGCTCCCAGCTGGGATATTTTTCTTACCTAAAGACTCCATTTCCTTTGCAGCAGACTGCTGTTTAGCAGGTGAGTGGGCATCCTGGGGTGCTAGGGAAATTGGTTTTAAAGGACAACTATGTTCTGCTTTTCCTCCAAGAATTTGATAACACCAGCCTAGGCTCTAAGCCATCATGATGCATTCAAGGTCCAGGTGACAGCCTTCTCTCAACAGACTTGCGTGGTGTGTGTGTGTGCGTGTGTGCACCCCACTTCCAGCTTTTGGGTGGTTAACTGTAGGTCAGAATCTCAGGCTTTCCTGCACTGGCTGGCTTTGGACTGTGATCCTCAAATCTCAGCCTCCTGAGTAGCTGGGATTACAGGCTTGAGCTACTGGCACCTAGTAGAAATACGTGGTTTTGACCTTGTCAGCATGCCACATTTCTCCCTACTAAGCCTTTTGGTCCAGCTTTGGTTGATTCTGACCTCTCTGGTTGATGTCCACAACACATTGTCATGGTTTTGCAGTGCAGCCTTTACCCTTGCCCCCTTGTCTTACCTCCTCCTTATTCTTCAGCTGGGTGTCTCAAGTTAAAATAATGCCCACAGGGGTCTAAAATCAAATAAGACATCTTGAGCCTACAAGTCAAATAAATAAGACATCTTGCCTTCACCCAGGGGCTGATGGGTAATTCTTCTGAGGAGAGAAGGGCTGAGGAAAGCTATGTAGAGAAAGCACAAGGCTGAACAGTGCTTGATTTGGGAGCATTTCTTTCCTCAGGGAAGAAAAACTGATCTTAATTAAAATTTTAATTCTGTGGCACACTGGTTTGGATTTTCTCACAGTGTGAAGCCAACAAACAGCAGGTACCCTTGAGCCAAGAATAGTTAATAGGTAGATATGCTCAGATGATAGCGGCCCTAGGTAAAAGGAAAGGCACAAGTTGGGCCTGGAGGAAGCGGCTGCGCGCAGGGTCTCTCTGCGGAGTCTGGCTCTGAGCCCGACCTCTCAGCTGTAGAGTAAACCATCTCATTCACACTCGCCAGCATTAGTCATCCATTCATGTTTTCTACCAGCGCCTTGAGTCTTCTTGGGCTGTGGGTGGTGGAGACAAGTTGAGTAAGACGCAGCCCCCGCCCAGAGGGAGCTGTCAGTATCAGAGGAAGCCAGAGCCAACCTCCAGAGCACATGAAACCGTGTGTGCAATCACACAGAGCCGCATGTGTGGGGGCTGAGGGGGTGGGGATCGAGGCCGTGACACCAGGAAGGTGTCCTAGTCCATCCTGGCTTCTGAACGAAAGAACAAACATTTTCTCCTGGTCCTGGAGGCGAGAAGTCGAAGGTCATGGGCCTGGAAGCTTGGGTGTCTGATGAGGACCTGCTGTCTGGTCTTGTCCTGTTCTTACATCATAGAAGGGCCTGTTTATGAGTACCGTGTCTTCCGTGATCCAAGCATCCCCCAGCGGCTCTGCCTCCTCAGGTATCACCTTGGGGGTTAGGAATCCACTTAACGAAATTTGGTTTAGAAGTGTTCAGAACAGAGACTGGAAAGGTGGCTCAGAGGTAGAGTGATTGCCTTGCGTGCATGAGGCCCTGGGTTCGATTCCTCAGCACTACATAAGCAGAAAAAAAAGCCAGAAGTGGTGCTGTGGCTCAAGTAGTAGGGCGCTAGCTTTGAGCTGAAGAGCTGAGGGACAGTGCCCAGGCCCAGAGTTCAGCCCCATGACCAACCAAAAAAAGTGTTCAGAAGGCTTCTGGAAGTGATGACATCTGAACCAATGGCTGCTATAGGAGTAGGATTTCCGGCAGATGAATGTGGAAAGTTCTCATATGTGAAGCAAAGACTGTGGACATGAGGTTTGGTAGCTGATTGATGCACAGGATGCAAAGCTAGGGGCAGGAAGCCGAGCAGTGTAAGTGCTGAGTGCATAGCTAGAGGGCGGGACAGGCGGTGGTTGGGGAAGGTCCTGCCGAGGGGTTGCAGCAGGAGCTGTCGGCACTGGTTGAAGGCGGTCTGGACTGCTGTGCCACAGTTCACACAACATACGGTACTCATGAATTCCACTCAGCGCTTACCTGTTATCCACACTTGTATGCCAAATTCTCTCTCACCTGTGTTTCTTCTAGATTCTCTGTTCTCTTCCTATGTGTTCTTCTAGATATGGGTATCACTTCCCACTTAACCAACCTTCTTTCCCACAGAGAATGGGGAGATCTGGACTGCGGGGACTGAGCACCAGGCATGTGCATGCAGGTGCCCATGAAGAACTGTGGTGGGGTGGGAGGAGGCGGGAGAGGCTGCTGGGTCAAGGAGTGGGGTGGGCGGTGCTGGTAGGGCAGCCCCATGGTGGCACCTGGGGTTTCTGGAGCTGAGGGCCAGACGGAGCCTGGATGACATGGCGGGTCTTGGCCCTGGCCGGGAGTTTGAGAAATGAAGGTTGTATGTGACCTTGGGCCCAGCTTCCCTGCCACCACAGGCTCCAAACTGCAGGTGCCTTGATGCAGACAAGAGAGTGGCAAGGAGGTGGCAAAGCCAGGAAAAGGTGGGCAGATCGGTGAGGGAGGGGGGCAGCATGAGGGGAGGGTGTGCGTGGAGCCCGGGGTGGGCTTGCTTATGCTCAAGAATTGGTGTGGCCCAGCTAAATGTGAATAGGGAAGTTCTCTAGAGGGAAGAAAAGACTGGAACGGGGGGGGGGGAGGCAGCTGCCAACCAGAGCAGCTTCATAGAGCAGGACAGGGCTCCCCAGCCCTGGCCAGGGGCAAAGAGGCCTTCCTGCAGGTCACCCGGTGCAGCATCTTGGCCATTGCATCAGGATGCTGTTTCTGGAGAGTCACCATAAACAGCCTTGCCTGCTCAGGTACCAAGGAGAGTGGCCCCCAGGCCCTTGGGAGCTTCCGCCCGGCTGAGCACCCATCCGTGTCTCCACCAGCTTGTTTTTCTTGGCCCTGCCTTTCCTCAGTGTTGGGTTCCTGAGAAGCAGGCTTGCTGTCTCTTGTCTCTGGGTCCCCTGCCTTTCTTCCCCAGCCCACATTTACTCCCCACACTGCTCTCTTCCCTCCCAGCCCCACCCACATCTGCACCAGGTTCATCTTCTCAGTGGAATGTACCACCTTGTTGTACCGGGTTGCTCCGCTCATCCCGTCTGGCGCCCTCCTTGGTAAAGTGAGGCCCCAGTCCCTGGACAGCTGCCCCAGTGCACACATTCCTGATAATTCCAGCAGCAGCCTTACAGAATGCACACCCCTGCTGATGCACGCCCTGGTGGTGTTGGGCCAGGCTGACCAGGATGCGGGCAGCTAATGGGGAAGGCTGGTCTGCCTGACCCCAGCAAAGTCATTCCTGAGCTCATTTTGGTCTTCCTTGCAACATGTGGTTAGGATTATTGGGTCACTGTCTGTGTTGACCTCTCTGGGTGCAAAAAGCCAAGTTGAGTCATTCAATCACCCTTAATGGTTGTCCCTTTCTCTGCTGCAGGGCATCGTGGGTAACTTGGCCAGCGGCAAGTCGGCCCTGGTGCACCGATACCTGACAGGGACCTACGTCCAGGAGGAGTCTCCCGAAGGTACGCCCATGGCAGGCAGTGACAACACGCATGCAGAAGAGTGTAGGGATTTGAATTCTTTAGGAAGTTATAAATTATTGCTTTGATGAATCACATGTCAAGAAAATAACAAAACATGCCAAGTAGTAAAAATCTTTAAGTCTAAATTGTTCTTTCTGTAGAAATGTTAGCAAGCCGCTTCTGTCGCAGTTCCCGTGAAATTCCATTGAATTTATTTCCCGTCTAATGGTTTTGTCTTTTCAAATATTAGTCTAGTGTTACTCAAGTATTGGTTGGCTATTTCTCTGGTCTGGATAATGAGTTTTTAAGTAATCTGTCTGTAATGTGACTTTAGTCACAGATAACTAGCTTTTCTAGAGAAGAATCCAGATTCTCACCACATGTTTGAGTATGTTTTCCCCTTTTATATTGTATTAAAACATTTAGTAATCATTTTGCATGTGAGTTAGGTATTTCTTTTGCCATTAGACATTTGCTTCTTTTGTTAACATATCCATGTTTTATTTTCTTGCTTTAAATATGATGATGATGGTAATGGCAGGAAGCTACTTAGCTCCCCGATCAAGGCGTTAGCAGTGTTATATTTTCTCCTCATGTAACCTTTTGAAATCCAACTGTGAGACACTGAATTTCTGGTTCCTTCTTTTTCTTACTGGCTGTTCCATTCTTTGCAGACATGGATGCAGGTAACTACGTTTCCTTCATGGCAGCGCTTGTCTTGATCTGGAGAGAGCTCGGAGGCACAGCTCTGTACTGTAGCACCCTTCCCTCTGTGTTCTGTGTTCCATCCTGTGCGGCTTCATTTTACCGGTTTTTTTTTTTTTTTAAGTTCAACATTCCACCTTGTTTTGTCCCTTAGACGTCTTTTGAGCCGTAGTTGTAAATAGCTTCACGTGTCTCTGTAACACCTGTTTTAGCATTTAACTCTTGTCCTAGGAATAGCACAAAGAGGGGCTTGCCTGGGGCCCCGCCACTATTCTGCAGAGTTCTGCAGTCGCGTTTTGCAAACCTCATGGTGGTCACTTCCAAGAAAGACCCACTTGTAAATTTTCCCCATTTTTCTGGTGGTTTGGGTAGATGAGGATCAGAAAGAAAGGCCTGCATGTGGGAGCAATCAGATGGGAGAACCCTGGGCTGTCCTGTGAGCATCGAGCCAGGTGCTCATGGGCATGGCCTCCTCCACTCCGGCCTTTCCCCTGGGTTCCGTATCTGAGCCACACGCGTTTTATGTCAGCCTTTGTCCCTCCATGCAAACCAGAAAGTGAAAGGCACTTTGATTTCCTTGGAGAGGCTATAGGACTTTGGGGGTTTCCACATACTTCTCGGGACTTGCCGTTGTATAGTTTATGAAACCAGCCATGGTATGTCTGTAGCTCAGCACCTGGCAGGGGCAGCATACCTGCAAACCTTCCATGCCTTCAGCAGCCCAGCTTTCAGTCAGAGATCACCAGAAGTTCCAGGTCAACTCTTGGTCAACGCTTGTTGACCTTGCTTTGACCTTGCACACTCTTAGATTCAGATGTCTAGAGCTGCTCGTGGGATCCAGACCGTGTGTCCATCACAGGCCTTCCCCTGAGCTGCTGCGTGGTCATTCTCGTGGCTTCTGTTTTCTGTTTGGCCTTCGGGTTGGTCCCAGTGTACTGGTCCCATTGTAATTTCTTTGTACTGCACAATTAGTGCTTATATTTCCACCGAAACAGAGGCATTTCTCTTGACTATCTGTGTATCAACCATGTATCAACAGTTAAAACTACACCCAGTGAGACGGTGTAACCATGAGCACTAAGGAGCCTGCTTTTTAGCTTTTTCAAGTGAAACCTCTCATCACTGCACCGGGATTTCAGAGCACTGCACGTGTGAGATGGTAGCGTGCGAGGGGGCACGAAGGGACTGTATCAGGGAAGGAGGGGTGTCTCCCGTTGGGGCCTCGTGGGATCTCTCATCGCGCGGTCAGCTGGGTCAGCGTCCCTAAATATGGCCACGTTTAAAGCCCTGCCCACCCGGCTCCTTGGATTTGCCCTGTGGTTCTTGCTGGGATTTCAGTGGTGTATCGTGTCCTTTGTCTGGAGTCTGACCTGCGCCGGGGTATTTGCACTGCTGCAGGGAGGGGAGGGGATGTGCTGAGACCTTTCCTTTTTTAACTTTGGCCAGAACGTTCTGACGTGAACCTTCTCCAGGCTCCAGAGACCATGTGTCCTGCTGGCATCCTCGCGGCATCTCGCTGCAGCCCAGAGGGTGACAGTGGTGGTCTTCTCAGCCTGCGGTGGCTCCTGGCAGACACTTTGAGGAAAGAGCTGACTCATGAGACTGTCAACTAATTTTAGAGCTGGAGTTCACATGAGGAAGGTCTTCAAATACTATGTTTAATATCCTTTTTAATGGCTGACTTAGTGTAGAGACGAATGCCTCCATGGGACACTGTGCCTCCCTAAGAGTAGCTGCGAGAGAGCAGCTCTGTGAGGGCAGTGTCATTGGTGCATGCGTGTGTGCGTGCATGCGTGTGTGCGTGCATGTGTGTATGTGTGTGTGCGTGCATGCATGCATGCGTGTGTACAAGTGTTTAGAGTGTAGGATGGTGTGTGGGAGTCCAGGACCATTTCAAGAAAACACCCACACTTCAGGGCTTCACCCAGAAGTCTTCCCTCACAGCTCTGCAGGCCAGAACTGCAACGTTGAGGCCTTGCAGAGCTGGAGATGCCTCTGGAGGCTGCGGGGGAGACTGCGTTCTGTGGAAGCTCCTGCAATTCCAGGTGCTCCTGCCCTGCTCTCTGCCTCCACCATCACGATGCGCTTACCATGACAGTGCCCACGCTTTCTTCTTCTTCTCATGAGGGCCCGCCCTGTTGTGACATGGCTTCCTGTCAACTGGTTACAACCAGAGAGACTCTACTTCCAGAAAATGCACCAGGGGTCACATTTGAATGGATATTGGGGGAGTTGCCAGTCAACCACCTCCCAGGCTTGTGTGTTACACACGGTGTTTAAACAGGAGTGGCACTCAGCACCACCCACCTGCCCATTGCATTCCATCCCCCGGGCCTCATGCTGTGAACTTTGCTGGCTGCAGAACCTAACAAGGGCAGAGTCAGGCTCCGTGTAACCTTCCTACCTCCCTGGTCACTTCACGGCTGCCATTCGCCTTCAGATAGAGAATCAGATGAAAGTCACGCCTTTGCCACCAGAGCCCTATTACCAACTGCTAGTCAGATTTGTGGATGGAGTTTTGGCTTTGTAACCTCAGTTCCCCGTCATGTGTTCCATGCTTAATATTCGCTGTGCGCCCTGCCTTCTGACACAGACCTAACTGATGCTTCTTGTCTTCTAACTCTTCCTTCCAAATAATGTCAAGAGAGGCTGCAGTTCTGAGTTCAAACTCTTGTACAGCAGCAGCAGCAGCAACAGCGTGGGGGTGGGGTAGGGGAAGGGGAGGCCACGGCAACTAAGTAATTACAAAAGGAAGAGAAACTGCTTATCCCTTATAGTGTGAGAGCGTTGGGAGTGGGGCACCTGCTCTCTTTGGTGAGGCCACTGGTGTCCCTTCCCAGGTCAGTACCGTTCCGCTTGTTCTGTGGGTGGTGGTCCCTGTGCCTGTGCAGAAGCCCCTGTGGAGGGACTTGAGAACCTCCGGGTGGCAGCCTCCTCCGTGGAGCTGCTGATCCAAGGCGGGGGAGGCGCCGCCGGTGTGCTGAGATGCCACTGTGGGGGCTGTAAGGTTGACAGGAGCACACCTAAGAATGGTCATAGCCTTCTCCCTGCAATCACACCCTGAAGCACCCTTGCTCCAGGAGGAGGGAGGCTGATTCTTCACAGAACTCAAGCTGTCTGTCACAGTTAAAAGTGGGATAAGCTGTGCTGCGAGCTGCCTCCTTTTGCGTCGTGTTCAGAATATAGGCCACGTCAGCTGCACAGGAGGAGGGGGAGGGCTGGGCCTGCCTTCTGCCCCTCTGCAGACCGGAGGGGCGGGCCCACGTGCCCGGCCTGTTGCAGTCACAGGAGGGTATTTGACAAAAGGCTGGGCGTGGCGTGGAGCTCAGGGCCCTGAGGCTCCTGGTCCTCATGGGCTTAGCTCATCAGAGATTGCTTCCTCAGTGTCTGTCCTCTTAATTTCTTGGGTCTTTTTTTTTTTTTTGGCTAGTCCTGGGTCTTGAACTCAGAGCCTGGGTGCTGTCCCTGAGCCTCTTTCTGCTCAAGGCTAGTTAGTGCTCCACCACTTGAGGCAAGGATCACTTCTGTCCTTTTCAGAGTAGTTTATTGACGATAAGAGTCTCTCGGATTTCCTGCCTGTGGCTTCAAACCGCAATCCTCACATCTCAGCCTCCTGACGAGCTAGGATTACGGACGTGAGCCACCGGTACCTGGCTGTTTCTTGGGTCCTAACCAACTCAAATGGTCAAAGGTTGAGGCAGCCACATGTTTTTCTGGGCCAGAGGCCTACAGATGCCTGACCAGGCTCCTGGTGAGGGGAGCTGACCCCTGTGACGCTATTCTGGCTCCACTCTGAGGATGGGAGGTGAGGCCCTGACCTGGCTCTGTGCTGCCCTGATGTGCCCCCCCCCCCCCCGTGGGAGGTGAGGCCTCTGACTCTGCTCTCTCCGTGGGAGGTGATCTCTCCTGGACCCTCTTCTCCCCCCCTGCCCCCCATTTCCCCACTCTCCCATCAGTGATTGCAGGAAGTCATACAGCCTGAAGCAACTATACATCACCTCCCTTCACAGAAGAGGAGGAAGCCTGGTGTCCTGGTTGTGACTGAAACGCGAAAAATGTAGGCAAAGGATTGAAGGGAGAACTGTGCTCGGGAACTGGCGAGAGCAGGCGGGGGCTGGGCAGTATCTGTGCAGTGTCCTATACAAAGGAAGGAATAGAGCAGAGGGAACCGAGAGGCTGGCTAGGAAAAGCTCTAGGCGATGCCAGAGAAGGCTAACCATGAGATTAGGATAGGCTTAGTGCAGTTGTCTTGGTTCCCTCTGGGGGCTGCTTCCAGACTCCACTAGATACCCATC